ACTTTAAAAGACTTGAAACAGCTAACCGAACCGACTAGTGTTCAAGAAAAGAGCTCACTTTCAAAAACAGTGGTCATTACCTATTTGCATAAGGTGTCACATTGTTTAAAAAAAAAGGTGGCAGAAAAAGCTGGCATCAGAGTTGTTTTGTTTTTGTTTTTTCGCGAAAAATAAGTTCTCTAGTATGTGCCATAAGATAAACATAGAGGACGGAGGGCCTCGCGTGTGTGATAAAAAACAAACAATCAAGTTTGTTGAATGTTGTTTCTGTGCTGTTTATGAAATTCCCCTCTAATGCGGCCGCTGTTAAATCGGGCAATCTGGCCGCTGTATAAATGACCGCTTCGGGGAACACCACAATCTAACGCGGGGTTCTGTTGGAAGCCACTTAGCTGCGCACAGCTCCATTTGCGGATGTCATGCATTGTTTGATCAATGCAAGATACTTCGACGCTACAGAGATGAACGAGCACGGGAGATTTATGAGGCGGTCAGCATTAACAAGAAAGTGCTATGTGGGTCAGTGCACTTTCGATAACGCTCCTCATCAGTGATCTTTGCGTATTAAACAAGTGAATGACGGCATAGCCACATTTTTTTTTCAGACACATACAAACATAACAAAAGTTACTCTTCCGTGTCACTGTTCTCCTCTACCTCCTTTTCAAGTTCCGCCTGCTATACATACCCCCATTTATGAAACAAACCTTGGTTGTAAGTTCCGCGCTTTGTCCGTCTCCGTCACTGCCCTGTGTAACACGCTGTTTTTTCGATTCGTAGATTATGTACTAAACAGCCCAAAAAAGCACTTTATTAAAGTTGTCGTCACCGATTCTTACACGTTTCCCAAGCACGAGGTCGGTGCTACAATGGACGTTCTCAGAATGAGTGCGCTGGAAGAAAAGATGATTCGTCAGTTATCCGGATGCAACGTTCATCCCACATCGACCCAGTTCCTTACTGCCGTGAATTCCCTTAGCTTTTACAATTCGATAAAAGCACCAGACACGGGCAACTGTGCAGGTGGCACACTTACGTCATTAGTTGGAACTGATGAAGTGGCCAACCATATCGAGAATTTACTGCACACTGGAAACCTGGACGAAGCTTCAAGTGTACTACAGGTATCGACTGTCCTTTCTACCCATGTGTATCCTGTGCGAGTCAGTGACGCAAGACTGGTGTACTATTTGGCTGGTTATGTGGCGCGGAGGAAAGTTATGGCAACGAAATGCCGGTACTGTTTTGAGCAGCTGCTCACATCCCTCGAGAACGCAGATAAGGACCTTGCGTCATTCACAGCATTCTGTGATGTAGGAGGGCTCTTGTACCCGTCACCTGAGCTATTTTCATTTGTGGAGGCAGTGGAGGACACATTTACATTGTGGTTCAGTTATAATAAGCTCCAAAGGGACACTATAGTTGAACTTCTTCATTCAAAGCGGACCGTACCATCCGTAGGGTGTGACTCACACAAGCAAGATCTGACGAGCAACATAATCAAGTTTTATGTACTCACATGGCTTCACTTCTTCACGAAATCTCTAAACAAACAGAGAAGTTCTGCAAGAGAAAGATCAAAGCACCTCAAGCTTCGAAGAACGATGTGATGTGCATCACACTGTAGTGTGCTAGCTTTGTTCCCTACTATGATGCCCCCAACTTCAAATAAAATTTGTAAGAAAAGTAAAACGCTGTCCCATTTTCTGTGCAGTTGTTAATCAAAAAATATTTCCACTGTGAATACGCAAGAATAATTAAGTCCTTAAAAACTATCTCATGCAAAATGTTAAGTATAACAACATTAAAGAAATTGATATCAATGTCACAGTAGCATTTTGTGCTTCTTGAGATTGCTTATAACCTTGCGAAATGGCAATCCCCCAAAAATGTTGATCGGTTACATATCTTAGCACCAAGGAACGATCGCTAGCAGTGGCAAGCTTAGCTAGCGGCGATGTTTGCGATTGATGTAAAGCTTCACTTATGATGCTATGGGTATGGTCACATCATACGGTGATAATGTTTGATGATATCTGCCGCGAAGTTCATTTATATATGGTACACTTACGCCCTGCAATATAGTAGAGGCACATAAAATTTATGGTACAAACAAAACCATATCAGCCACAAATCAGCCTTGACATGGCAGCTCCGCTGCAGTGAGCCGCCGAGCGAGCGACGTGGATGGATGGATGTGGCTGTACGCTAGGTGTTCTGTGGATGTACCCTTTAGACCGAGCGGCGGAGTTAGTGAACTAACTATTACATTTATCTTTTTTTCTTTAAATAGTGAGGTTGAGGATTCGTACTTTGCAGTGAAGGGTTTAATTTTCACTCGTGCCTTGTCTTTAGCCAAGGTTAAGCTACAGCCAGCGCCACCTAGACAGCGCCGTTCGAGGCATCGGTGGAGAGCGTCAGCGCAGGCGGCGCGGTCTTCATACTTCCCCTATACAAGCCCCTGTACCAACGCCTCATCTGTTTAGATGCCTGCCGCATGAGAAGGAAAACAGCTGCCACATCCTTTCTCTCCTTCATTTCAGAATGAATGAATGGATAAATGAATTGATGTGGCGGTACACTTTAGATCGGGTGGCGGCTAACTTCACCTAGCCGTAATACTTAGTGAACTAACCATTATATTTATTTTTTTTCTTTAAATATTGAGGTTGAGGATTCGTACTTTGCAGTGAAGGGTTTAATTTTCACTCGTGCCTTGACTTTAGCCACCAATCAGATGACCTCCTTCTAGTTAAGGCTACCCGCTTAATGTCTATCTTGCCCTCCCTGTCCCTAAACCCCAGTGCTTTGAAAAACTCTGCGCCATCATCCTGAACTATAGGGTGAAGCCCTTTACAGAACATTATCAAGCGTTCGGCAGTTTCTTCTTCCTCTCCACACGCACTGCATACTGTGTCTTCCCCTTCGTATTTGGCCCGATATGCCTTGGTTCGCAATACTCCCGTCCTGGCCTCAAACAGTAGAGAACTACCCCGAGTATTATCATAGATCCTTTCCTTGGCAATTTCCTGCTTAAAAGTACGATAGATCTCTAGTGCGGACTTCTTAATCATGCCAATTCTCCACGTGCCAGTCTCCGTTTCCTTCACTTTCTTCTTAGCTGATAGTTCTTTTTGGTTTGGCCACCTGCTGTTTTCTAAGTATTTAGCAGTCAATTTCCTGGTTCGCTTCCTCCATTTTGTATCGACATTCTTCATGTACAAGTAGCTGAAAACCTTCCTAGCCAAACGCTCCTCCTCCATTTCTCTCAATCGCTTCTCAAATTTTATCTTGCTGCTAGCTTCCCTGCCCTCAAATGATGTCCATCCCATATCAACTTGTACTCCCTGATTCGGTGTATTCCCGTGAGCTCCTAAAGCAAGCCTACCTATTCCAAGTTGCTTAATTTCTAATCTTGCTTGAACTTCTGATCTCAAGCACAAGACCGCATTGCTGAACGTCAGCCCAGGAACCATGACCCCTTTCCATATTCCTCTCAGAACATCATGCCTATTCTAATTCCACAGTGCCCTATTTTTCATCACTGCTGCATTCCTGTTACCTTTAGTCGTCACGTATATTTCGTGTTCCCTTAGGTATTCAGTCCCATTGCTTATCCATACGCCCAGATATTTGTATTTATCTGTTATCTCTAGCGTGACCTCCTGTATTCTAAGCTCACTATCTTTGTTGTCATTAAAAATCATGACTGCTGATTTTTTTTTTACTGAATCTAAAATCTAACCTTTCTTGGCAAGTGACCCATACCAGCGCCTCCTAGATTTCTTTTGCCCGCCGTATTATCGGCGGTCAAACTGGTAGGTGTTCTGTGCGGTCACTTGGGAAGCGGCGGTCGTTGGAACTATGGTTGTGGCGCTACTCAAGTAGGGGTGTCTTCAAATAGGTTTTTTCGTTTTTGGAGCTTATATACAGCAAAAATAATGTAAAGTGTTATAAAAAACCGTAGACTTAATTTTAATTAACCCTACGTAAGTGACACCGTCATTCAGCAAGCAACTTTTCCGTCCTCTACTGGAGTACGCCGCATGTGTATGGGATACCGCCCACATAACACTCGTTAACAAATTAGAGGCAATCCGAAACCGGTCGTCACGTTTCATTCTTTGCAGCTATAATCGAACATCTAGTGTAACTGCCACGAATGTCAGGCTTAATCTCCCTGCGCTTGTCATGCGTAGAAAAATTGCTCGCCTTTGCGCGTTCCAAAAAATATACTATTACAATCACGTTCTAAAATCGCGCTTATTACAGCCTGCATCTTTCATATCATCCCGCATAGATCACCCCCACAAAGTGCATATTTCTCGAAGTAACACCGTCACCTTTTCCCAATCTTTCCTTCCTAACACATGTCGCGACTGGAACCTTCTCTCAGCATCAACCGCCAGTATTACTGAACCTGACGCGTACCGTCAGGCCTTGGCATCTTCCATGTAAATTGAATTTCACGTTGCGCACGCGATAATTCCTCATCGTATTCGTAACTTGTATTTCACACCGCATTCTCTTTTTTTTTCTCGTTTTCTTATTATTGAATCTTTTCCATCTTTTTTGCGTTGCCTGGCTTATTACGTGTATGTTTTGCTTTTTGCCCGTTTCGCGTTTGCCCGTTTCGCTTTTGCTTGTTTTATTATTATTATTGAATCTTTTGTAGTTTTTGTGCGTTGGCTGACTTATTACGTGTATGTTTTGCTTTTTGCCCCTCCCCTCTACAATGCTGTAAAGCCCTGAGGCCTGAGGTTAAAAGAAAGAAAGAAAGAAAGAAAGAAAGAAAGAAAGAAAGAAAGAAAGAAAGAAAGAAAGAAAGAAAGAAAGAAAGAAAGAAAGAAAGGCATAGCCTCTGAATTTAGTATAGCAAACGCTAAAATTGAAATCTCAAAGGCCAAGTACAAAGACCCTTATTCCTACGTAGGCAGCGCCTCTATAGATGACGGGTGTTTCGCGCTCATGCGGCAGGCAAAGGAAATCTAGGAGGCGTTGGACTCTTTTATTATGGCGGCGCCCAGTAGTTGTGGTAGTTTTGGCTGTTGCGGCATCCACGCGTAGGTGTTCTCTTTACACGCCTTGGCATAGCGCTTGCCGCTGCTTGCAGCGTATGAATCGCGTTCTCCCAGCTTGCCGAATGGACAGTAGTATGTCGCTTTTAGCGAGCGTCAACGAGCTGCTTAACACAGCGCCAACACTCGTGGATCCGGAAGATGACATTCATGAAGGTAAGATGCACTGACAGCGTCGTCTCCACATGAAAGGCAAGGCTGAAAACAAACGGGCAAGGTGTACATTGGTTTGTTGCCATCCGTAGTTGCTTTTGGACAATAATCGCGTTGGTAGCAGCGGCATTCATTTGAGCAGCACGTGAACTTGGCCATCACAACAATTGCAAGGTACCCACTATGCTTCATGATGACGATGAAGAACAAGCGCCTTTCAGACTCCACATTCTCTTTCTGCCATCACAGCACAACACATGCAATGTATCCTCTTTATGTCATGATGAGAATGGTGAGGCTAGTGACGATGAAAAAGCGTACTCCAGACCACACCATCCCTTTCTGGAATCGCAAGACAGCACATGCAAGGTACCTACTATACATCATGTTAAGGACGATGATGCTGGTGATGAAGAACAATCGCATACCAAACCACACATTCTCTTTCTGCCATCACAGCACAGCACATGCAAGTTACCCACTATACATCATGATGATGCTGAGGCGATGAAGAACAAGCGCATTACAGACCACACATTTTCTTTTTGCCGTGGAGAAAAACGATGGTGAAAGTGCTCTCCCCACAAAAGGCCCTCGCAGAATGTACCGTTATGACAACCAATAAGACAGTGTTCTGTACACATATGCTGTCACTCATCTGCATCTTTGAGTGGGTCAATGTACGGGGGGATTCACGGTTACGTGAATAATCGACTCATTGTCATTCACTGCATCAATGTGCTGCGATTTTTTCTTTTGCTCTTTACCACCTTCTCCCATTATGAGTATTTATTACTTCTCTTTCCTATTTGGCTATTTGTGCATGTGTGACATTAGATGAACACCTAAAATGTAATCATGTTCATTCACTTATGCATATATTTTCTTTTGGCATATACGTAATCATAAAACAACATAATTATTTCGAAAGGCACATTATTCATTCGCTATATTACACTTACATTCACAGTCATCTGTCTATCTGCGCATCATCTTGGGCTAATACCTACTTTCATCACCTAGATTCTCTTCAACACCTGCAAAACCAAGCTGTACGATTAATGATTTTCAGTAATGTTTTTACTCCCTCTAGACCGCTCTACCAAAACCTAGATATTTTGCCGCTCACAGAACTACTTAAACAAAAACTATCTCGTTATTTTTCGACTAAAGCCATGTGGCACCTCCATTCTACCTTACTCGGATGAATTTCTTGTAAACACCAACTTTACGAGGTTCTCCTCAAATGACAATCTACTTCTTCCCCGGGTTTGAACAAATTATGGGAAAACTGTAACAGCCCTTTTTTCCGGCTTATCATTTTGAAACTTTACACCATACAAAATAAAATCACCATCATCTGTTTCAAAGCCCTTCAAAGTCTTCACAAGAAATTTTGTTCTGGTCAGTGCAGACGAAGTCGCATGTGCATGTCTCAAGTCAGTCAAGAACTTTCTTAAGAGGTCCTGAGAAGTTCGAGTAGCCAGTGGGCCCGTGAAGGACACCCTAGCAGCTGCTACTGTAGGCGACGTGGCATTCTGCCAGTTCTTGGGCCCTCTGTGAAGGCCTTTAGTAGGTGGTAGAGCTCGGTGCTCCTGAATGCCTCTTGCCAGTCAGACTGAACTGATGAGGTCCCTGAGGTAGTGCAAGACGTTGCCAGAGAATAAGCGAGAGTGAACAATAAGTTTCTCTGCAGTCAAGGCATTCTGGATTTATGTCCAGAGTTGTAATGGCGGAGTTGGCTTTGTCGGGTACGATTTCGTTCATAGCATGTGAAATGGTACCTCTTGCGCACGTTTGAGCTTTGTGTGAGGCAAAGGTTATTGGCTTGGACAGTTACGATAGTGAGAGGCGATTTCATGGAAATGGAGTAAGGGGTCGTTAAGCTGTACATCTGGGCTCAACTCTTCGTTGGCTGATCGTTTGTCGCGGTAGGTCACATGATCACCATCAAGTGCATCTTCACTGAATTCAGAGTAAAGAAATGAAAATATGAAGTTGTGTTTAACAAAGTAATGTAGCAAATTGGGCTAGTTCGAACAAACGCGTTATGATCAGTGCACAAAAAAGGGACACTACCTCACACTAGGGACACTAGGGACACTACCTCAATTTTTTTTTTTTTTACTTATTGCCAGCCCCTTCAACACTGCTAGAGTTACCTAGCGTGTTTCTCTCCTGTGTGACAGATTATCACCATCAGTTCTATAGCTACACATGGGCATCGGGGTGTGAGTTTGATGTGCAGTTGTTGTAGTCAGCTAAGTTCTTATTTTCGTTATTGGCTCATGTAGAGGTGAGGGTGAGAACATCCTGTGATGACGTACCTAGAAAATTAGGTTTGCAGCACATAAGTAAAGCGATACTGTATAAAAATTGCAACAAGTCATGAAAGCATCGAAATACGTTTTGGAACAGCTGTAACGTCAAGCGTGCTGACGGGGGGAAAGGTGGAGATGTGCAACCGGTGCTTGTCCCTGCTGACACTCGTACCTCAATATATTGTTACGATGGGGCATGTTTATTGAAGAACGAATGGCGAAGGGTAGCCGCGCCGACATAGACCTGCTTCCAAACAAACCACATCTTTCTCCTCTTCCTCCCTTCACATGTTGCCGCTTCAGCGTAACACTCCCCCTTTTCCAGACGAAGCCCCCTGGGCGAGTATCAGTCACAAGGATGAAAGCGCTTTAGGCGGGCGACGTGAACAAGCTGAGTCTGCCTAGAACGGTAGCCGCGAGATACAAGGCGAGTGATTAAATATGTCACATCACTTAGGCAATCGACAATGACCAAAAGGCCGGTGTAACGAGCCAGGAACTTCTGGTACAGACCACGCTTGCAAAAGGGTGTCTATAGCCATACTTTTTCTCCTTTTTCGTACGACACGTTCTTGTGCCGTGAATATCTAGGTGAACTTGGAGCGGTCTTGGGTTGCCAAAGTACGGAGCTGAACTAGGCGACGTGCTTCCTCCGCGCAGCAGAGAGTCTGGGCAATGGAAGAGTCCTCATGCGCATGAAAAGGCTGAATGGCGTCAGGAAAGCGGCAGGGTGGTCTGACATAAAGATAAAATGGACTGTAGCCAGAGGTTTCGTGCTTTGCCGTGTTATAAGCGTAGGTGATAAATGGCAAGATGTCCTCCCAGTTCTTGTGCCTGGAGTAAATGTACATCGAAAGCATGTTGATAAATGTTCTGCTGGTGCGCTCGACGAGACCATTTGTCTGTGGGTGATATGGGGTCGAGGGGCGAAACTGGCAAGCACAGAGACGCAAGAGTTCTTCTAAAACATCGGCTACGAATTGTCGACGACGATCACTCAGAATAATCCGAGGCGGTCCATGGTGCAGTATTACTGAAGAGAGGAGGAACCTTGATACATCGATGGCCGTGGCTGTTGGTAGCGCTTTGGTTTCCACATAACATGTCATGTGGTCAACGCAGACAATAATCCAACGATTGTTGTTCAATAAGCGCAGAAATGGACCGAGAAGATCCACTCCAACCATTTCGAAAAGAGACGAGGGTGACATCAAGGATTGGAGGTGACCAACCGGGGTAGTATTTGGTCGCCTGAATTGCTGGCATTTATCACAACTGGCCACATACTTTTCTGTATTGCGTTGCATGGTAGGCCAGTAGAATCGAGCCAGCAGGCGGTGGTACATTTTGGGGAACCCCAGGTGCCCCGCTGATGCGTCGTCGTGCATAGCATAGAGTACGTGCGTTCTCAAATTCTTGGGGATTACTAAAAGAAGGCAGGCACCACCAGCCACGTAATTTTTTTTTTGTAAAGCAAGCCATCTTGGACAATAAAGTCGTGGCTACGTATCAGTTGAGCAGCTGAGTCAAAAAGATCATCCAAGTTGGGGTCATCACGCTGTTCTTCCCGGAAGGTAGCGAGTTCAGGAAAAGCAGTATCGTCGATGGAAGCTAGAAAATCGTCGAAATTGTCGGAGTCACATAGAGTGGTTGGTAGGGGAAGCCTCGAAAGACAGTCGGCGTCTGCATGATAGCGGCCACTCTTGTAGCATATTGTAAAGTTAAATTCCTGCAAACGTAGCACCCATCACGCGAGGCAACCAGAATGGTCACGGAGACCAACCAACCAACATAGTGAATGGGGGTCAGTCAGGATCGTGAAGTGCTGCCCGTAGAGATATGGGCGGAACTTCTGCACAGCAAAAACCACAGCGAGGCACTGTTGTTCAGTAACAGTGTAATTCTTCTCGGCCTGGCTCAACAAACGACTGGCGTAGGCGATGACATGCCCGGTGTCATAACTGAATGCAGGAACAGCACAACGTAGAAGTGGCTACTTCGTAACTATGGAAGCGCAAAAAAACATTCAATTATGTCCTACCAACTTGTCCAAGTTTCCACGCTTCTTGCTCGGTGTCATCGAAGCGCTGTATGAGCACGGCGCCGAGACCAATGCCACTTGCATCGGTGTGCACTTCTGTCGTGGCAGACAGGTCGAAATGGTGCAGTGTGGGTCCAGACGTAGGAAGAAATTTAAGTTCACGAAACGAGGCATTACACTCTGCTGTCCAGATGAAATCCTTATCTTTGCAAAGCAGTGAAGTCAATGGGTAGGCAGTATCAGCAAACTTGGACACAAATCGGCGGAAGTATGAAAAGAGACCCAGAAAACTCCTTAGTTCGTGTTGTAATTGCGGTTGTTTGAAACAGGTAACTGCAGCAACCTTCTGAGGGTCTGGGCGCACACCATGTTTGTCTACAGGATGACCAAGTACAAGTTCTCCTCGCCGACCAAAGTGACATTTCTTGGAGTTTCGTCGAATACATTGTTGTCAGCTCTAGCAACAGTAACCTGAACATTGGATAACGAACGGGGCAGTACGACGGAATCCTCACGGACGTCGAGGGTGTGCGATCAAGTAGCAGGTTGGTTGGCAACAAAAGGAGAGACAAAAAGCTTGCCGATACCGTAATCAAGAGTTGCATCGCACTGTTGCAGGAAATCTAGACCCAGAACCACATTATGTGTTGATTTAGTGAGCACTGTGAATTCGGCTTGATAGACTTTATTAGAGAAATAGACGTCCACGGTACACACACCAAGAAGTCGTAGCAATTCTCCAGTCACAGCACGAAATGTGCTCGCATTATTCCACTTGAACATCACCTTATGGCCTAATTGGGTTTTGAATTCCATGCTGATAATGGAGACACTTGCTCCTGTGTACACTAAAGCTGTTGTAACATTGTCCACAGAAACACAAATCTTGTTATGACGCGTAGTCACTGGTGGACTACCCGACATATAGCTGAAGCGTATAGTGACGTATAGCTGAAGATGACTGGCTACCTCACCTCCATTGGTCGCGCCGCCTAGTTTCCCTGCGGCGGTGAAGTGGGACGTCGTTGAGGAGATGGGGATCTTCAGTAGCGTGCAGGTGGTGGCGTCAAGCTCCGCACGACACCGGTGAGTCACTGCAGTGATTTCCCCGATGGTTTGGCCTGCTGTCAGAGTCTGAGGGCTAGGGTGTCTCGTCAATGTGCTGATTGCTGCGCCCGTAGAAAATGTGTGGTCGCCAATAGGACGGTGCGATGGCGATCGGGGCAGATTGGGCGACATGACTGCGGATGACTGCAGACAGTGAAAGCATATGGTACATTCGCGAGGTGCGCTGATGTCAGCAGAAGGATGAATGGCTCGGCCGTTCCGTGCCTGATAACCGGTAGGTGGTCTGCACGCGTATTCGTCATCCAACGTGTAGTACGAACGCATAGTTTGGCTTGGCCCTCATAGTTGTAGGCATCAAGGGAGGCGGCGTTGATAGTCGTAGCGCTTAAGTCGCAGGGAGGAAGGGGTTCTCGGACTTTAGGTGCCAGCCGAGAAACTGCCTCGCGTAGGTTGAGCTCTTTGCGCACTACTTGGTGAATCATAGACGCGAGATCTGATGGGGTTGGATGCACGTCGACGCTGGCGACATTAGTGACGTTGTGCAGGCAGCTGAACTTTGGTGCAATTCGCCCTGCTTTCACCACTTTGAACGTACGGCAGTGCTTGATAACGTCACTTACACGCTCCAAACTTTTTTTTGTGATGAGAAACTGGTAAACGCCCTTCGCGATCCCTTTTAGAAGACGACCAACCTTGTCCTCTTCTGTCATCCTGGGGTCCAGCGGCCTGCACAGCTTGAGCACCTCCTTGATATACGTCGTGCAGGTTTCCCCGGAGACTTGCGCTCATTGCATAAGAGTTTGCTTGGCACACTTCTTCTTCGCTGCCGGATCCCCGAAGCACAACTTGATTTCATCGGCAAACTTCCGCCATGTCGTCAGGCTTTCTTCATGGTTTTCAAATCATACAGATGCGGTTCCTTTGAGAAAGAGTCCCACATTATTGAGCTGGCCGTTAGCATCCCAGCCATTAAACCGACTCGCCCGTTGGTAGCAGCTGAGCCACGAGTCATCTTCTCCAGCTTGTCCAGCAAAGGATTGAGGCTGGATGTAGGGCTGCCACGGAATGCGGGAAGCAGGTGGCTTGTTGTCATTGTTGTGGTGAGATGCCATTGCAGGTGGCAGACCAGCAAGTCGTCGGCTTCGACGAAGCTCCGCGTATTGCACCTCAGCGGTCGATGAGTCGCCATTCGTCGGGGGAGCCGTTATGGTACCCAGCACCTCTCACCAAAACTGTTACGATGGGGCGTGTTTATTGAAGAACGAATGGCAAAGGGTAGTCGCGCCGACGCCAAGCTGCTTCCAAACAGACCACTTCGTTCTCCTCTTCCTTCCTTCACACGTTGCTGCTTCAGCGTAACAATATCAAACCCATGTATAGTGAATTATAAGATATAATGCACTAAACAAAGACTAACCTCGCAATATGGTATTGGGAATATACCTTTATAACAAACATTTACATATAACAAACTTATTTTCGTACAACATGCAACTTCGGTATAATGAGGTTTGAGTGTATTTCCCTTTCTGCACATCTCCCTTACGTCCCGCTCTCCTCCTTCCATGAAAATGCCGAGAGTGGGACTGAGTGTGGAACAAGTGGTCCCACCCCAGAGCTCTGTTCGCTGTCAGTGCAGTTGACGTTGCTTCTAGGAACAATCATAGGAGTAAAGCAGATAATGGGTAGCGATTTGGCTCACAAGTTCTGGCATGTTAAACTTTGCCTCTTCCAATTCTCAGTATGGCTGCTAGACCTAGCAGTTTGTAAAAAATTCATCAAAATTATTATTTTCTGCTAGTTTCTGCCTCAAAACGAGGTTGCATTAGTCACCCTAGCTTTCAAGTAGGCTTCAAATCTCAGTGGCAAAGAAATTTTTTAGTATTCCTTTGACTGCAGTTGAATTTTATCAACATAAAAAATGATGCTTATTTGCATATACGTTGTCTCAACTTATTACATTTTCTTCCTGAACCTGCACTTTTGTTGGCAGATACAAAGGCAAGGTTGGTGAACAAGTCCACTATTGACTATGAGGATGTTGCGGCTCCAAAGTCGAGGCCCCGAATGCAGCCTCCAGTCATACTGGGAGATCGCTATGCGGGAAAAAAGGTGACCAAGAAAGATCTGGATGAAGATGGTTTTGACAGTGATGGTAAGCTCTGGAACCATTGACCCGTGTTGAACGAATATGTGATTACCAATGCAATTTTAAAGGGACCCCGGAATGGTTTTCTAAAGTTTTATCAGCATATAGGCATTATCCAAGGATTCGCACCACAATCTCAGCAACATGCTGTGCACCAAGGCCGCTACAGACAATTATATCGTGGCCTCCTTCTCATTCCCCCCTGCCGTACCTCTTCGACTCACGAGACACTGGCGTGAGACACATTGGCATCTCTGCAAGTTGCAGAGCTCTCATGAGCGCACTCGGCAATTTGAGCTTCACCCAGTCTTGACCTCCGAGATTGCAGATAATCTCGAAGGCCATCACCCAGTGCGTCCGACAGCATGCATGCCGTCTGGTTACAGAGATGAAGATTGCATATTGGTTGATATCTGCTCCAACAGGTGCAGCTACCCTACCAACCGATCTTACTCCTGTGCATTCTACAGTCACTCAGATCAGCAGCCTGTATTACATCAGGCTACCAGAGGACTTTGTACTGTAAATGGGCAATCAAAAACGCGTTGGCTGAGGTGCAGCACTATGCATTGACTTGCAGTTGTGAAGTGTTGTAATAAATTATGCAGTTTATGCAAAAAGCTTAAATCAGTCTGTAAATGATCCTTAGAATACTTGTTCTAGAGAATACTTGGAATTCTAGAGAATGCTTGGAATACTTGGTCTAGAAGACCACTGTGTTCTATGGGACTGTAAGTCGAGTAGTGGGACAATCAAATTGAGTGTTTTTCAAAGTATGTAAAGCTTTCTTCTATCGAGCCGACAATTCGACAAGCGGACTTGTCTTTCTCAAGGCTATAACAGAACTGATTTCTTAAGCTATAGCGTGTCTACGCTTCGTACCCTCTCCTTCGTCCTAACAAAGGAGAGGGGGCAACATTGGATAAGCGGGTGTGAGAGAGCGGGGAAGAGTAGGGGAGTGCTGTGATGCATTGTATGAGTGAAGAAGAAATAAAAAGAACTCAAGGAAGCGGTAGAGAGGTGAGAATGTACAGGCATCGCGGAGTCGGTTGTTGAACCGGTTGTCAGAAATTAACAATGGCAGGTTCGAAATTCCTAGACGGAGGGCTTAACTTGCAGTGGCTTTTTTTGCATATGTGTCATAGCACTTGGCTACATTAAAAGATCGCTTACGTCCTGCCCACCGCAAATCTGAAAATTAGCTTACGAAACCTTCACGTGTACTAAACTTGAATATGCTTCTGCTATTTGGAACCCTCACCAAAATTACCTAATCGACGCATTAGAAGCAATTCAAAATCACGCTGCCAGATTCATCACCTCACAATACAGTTCTCGCTTAAGTATTACCAGTATCAAACTATCCCTCAACCTCCCTCCTCTAGAAATTCGCCGCAAGGTCACTCGGCTCTGCCTTCTGCACAAACTATACCATAATTTCTCGTCGCAACGCAATACCGTTCTTCTACCTCCCGCCCGTTCATCGCGTCGCCTCTAACTCCCAATGTTTGCAGCGCTTACATGGTTCAACTAACGCTTTCAATAAATCATTTTTACCTACTGCCATTGAAGACTGGAATAACCTGCCTGAATCCATAGTGCACGAACAAACCCCCTTAAAACTTACACAGCTAATCACAAATCACTTAATATGTTAGATAATTTACAATTGTTGCCGTTTTCTTCCACATAAATATATATTTTTCCTTCTGTTGACATTGTTTTTTATCGTGTAGTTCACTTTCGATTATGCTTTGTACCATTGACAATCATGCATCTGTTGAATTGTGTTTTTGCCTCCCCCTTATGTAATACCCCGCAAGGGGCCTTTAAGGGTTCAATAAATTAAATAAATGATACCCAATAGATTCAAGAGCCCCTTTAGAAGCATTTATAGCTGGTGTTTATTGAAGTTGTAAGGTACGACTATATTTTTTGTCTTTTGCGGACCAGCAGTTTAATTGACTGAAATATGTAGAGTTTGAGATCGTTGATGCTGTGTCCTGCTACAATAAAGTGCTGTGCTACTGCTTTCGGTAATTTCTTTGCCATGTCCGTGCAATGTCCGTTTAATCTAACATGAATATACTGTCCTGTTTCCTCATCAGCATCATCATCATTAGCCTGACTACTTCCACTGCAGAACAAAGGCCTTTCCCATGATCCACTAGTCAACTCCGTCTTGTGCTTACTGTTGCCATTTTATAACCGCAAACTTTGTAATCTCATCTGCCCACCTAAATTTCTGTCTCCCCCTAACCCGCTTGCCTTCTCTGAGAATCCACTTAGTAACCCTCAATGACCAGCGGTTATACTGTCTACGTGCTACATGCCCGGCCAATGTCCATTTCTTCTTGATTTCAACTATGATAACCTTGACCCCAGTTTGCTCCCTGATCCACTCTGCTCTTTTCTTGTCTCTTAGGTTGCACCTATAGTTTTCCTTTCCATTGCTCGCTGCATCGTCCTCAATTTAAGCTGAATCCTCTTTAGAAGCCGTCATGTTTCTGCTTTGTAGGTAAGTGCTGGCGAAATGCGGCTGTTATATACCTTCGTCTTGAAGGATAGCGGCAATCTACCAGTCATGATTCAAGAGTGCATGCCGAATGTGCTCCACCCCTAACTTATTCTTCTAGTTATTTCAACCTCATCATTCGGCTCCGCAATAAGACTACGTCCTAAGGAGAGGTAGTCTTTTACAGGTTAATGTGGACTATTACTTATCTCGAAGTGCTGTTATCTTCCGAGGTTGTTGTACTTACTTTCGTTTTCTGCAGAATAACCTACCTTTCCTACCTTTCTGCTCTCCTTGTCTAACTCCATAATCATGAGTTGAAATTCGTCCCCCAAGTTACTCAGCAATGCAATGTCATCAACGAAGTGCGGGTTGCTAAGGTACTTTCCATTAACTATTATCCCTAACTGTTCCCATTCTAGGCCTCTGAAAACCTCCTGTAAGCACGCGGTAAATAGTGTTGAGGAGATTGTATCCCCTCCTCTTACATCCTTCTTGATTGGTATTCTGTCACTTTTTTTATGGAAGCCCCGCCGCGGTGGTCTAGTGGCTAAGGTACTCGGCTGCTTAGCCGCAGGTCGCGGGATCGAATCTCGGCTGCGGCGGCTTCATTTCCGATGGAGGCAGAAATGTTGTAGGCCCATGTGGTCAGATTTGGGTGCACGTTAAAGAACCCCAGGTGGTCAAAATTTCCAGAGCCCTCCACTGCGGCGTCTCTCATAATCATATGGTGGTTTGGGACGTTAAACCCCACATATCAAATCAACTCTTTATGGAGCACTATGGTGGCAGTCGATCTCCTGTAGATTTCTTCCAGAATGTTTATATATACTTTATCTACGTCCTGATTCCACAGTGTCTGCATGATGGCTGATATTTCTACTGAATCAAACGCCTTCTCGTAATCTATGAAGGCTATGTATAAAGGTTGCCCGTATTTTAAGCATTTCTCTATTACCTGATAATATGAATGTGGTCGATTGTTGAGTTGCCTGTTGAAAACCTTGCTTGTTCCTTTGGTTGATTGAATTCTAATGTTTTCTTTACTCTGTTAGCAATTACCTTTGTAAGTAGATTGTATATGATGGAGAGCAAGCTGATCGGCTTATAATTCGTCATCCTTGTCATCTCCTTTCTTATGTATTAAGATGACGTTAACATTCTTCCAAGATTCTGGTACTCTTCCCGTCAGGTTACACCTCGTATATAGGGTGGCTAGTTTTTCTAACACAACCTGTTCTTCGTTGTTTAGCATATCTGATGTTACCTTATCCTCACCAGCAGCTTAGCATCTTTGCATGCTCTTCAAGGCTTTCCCGACCTCTTCTGTCATTACTGGTAGAATGCCATCTTAGTTACTGCTAGTTGTTATATTGAGGTCGTGGTTGTCCTGGCTACTGTACAGATCTTTGTAAAACTCCTCCCCCATTTTAACTATCCTTGCCATATTGGTAGTTACTTTGCCTTCCTTGTCTCTTAGGGCATACATTTGGTTTTTGTCTATCCCAAGTTTCCTCTTCACCGCTCTGATGCTCCCTCCGTTCTTTAGAGCATGTTCATTGTCTATCCGAAGTTTCCTCTTCACCGCTCTGATGCTCCCTCCGTTCTTTAGAGCATGTTCAATTTTCTCCGTGGTATACGTTCTTACATCGGATACCTTACGCTTATTAAACAACTGTGAAAGCTCTGTTTCCTCAGTGTACTGTTTATGCCAATATGAACATTCGATCATCTGGATAACATTTTCACTAGTTCAGGTATAACTAGATTTTATATGATAGACATAATCACTCTGGGTACTTTTAGTTATCATATCTTGAAGGTGATAGTATGGAAAGTTGGGTGAGTTGGTTTGATCACATTCTTGGAAACATTTCGGTGCACACAACCCAGTGGACAGTAAAACAGAAAACGAGAAGATGGAAGGTTTTCTTGGGTTCCGTTTTCCCGTTCACTGCGTGTGCACCGAAATGTTTCCAAGAATCTCATCTTGAAAGTGTTTGCAAGTCTTGCATCTTGGATGGGAGCCAGATGTTACTTGGGGAATAGAATGAGCGTTTACTTTTGCATGCACTAACATGTCCTTAAGATTTTTATTGCGGCGGTACACGGCATTCGGTACTTCGGCAAATGCTTTTCTAAGGTGCTCGTTGCTTGCTAGTATTAGATAATAGTACTTAAGCAGGATAGTATTTATATTTTGAACCGCATTAGGTATTCGGTTATAAATGCTGGCGGCTGGTTGGGTTGTGCTACGGGGTTTTATTAGCTAGAGTTGTTTTCCTAATCCAGCAGGGGTGGAACAGCTGCGCCATTTGCACCATTGTGTGTCATACTTGCTTACCGCGCCATTCTACGCTGAGCCACCCCTGTTGCACAATACTATCCTATCAGCGCCATACTGCGCCACAGCACCAGAATTTAGCCGCAAAGTACCAAAGCCATCAAGCGTCGTGCCTGGAAACACGGATGAAACGTTGTCTATGTGGCT